TCGAGGGGTGCCTCGATTAGCTTGAGACCGAAAATAGTACCAGAGAGTACCGGTGCTCGATAGTTCCCGCGATTAATGTGTTGAGATGCTTCAAATGTGGAGAATTTGGGCACAAGAGCATGGATTGCAAAAATTGTGATAGATGCTCTAGGTGCAGCCAACAACACAAAACGTCGGAGTGTACGTCAACTGTATTGAAATGTATTAATTGTTTGAAAATGAATAAAGAACGAAAAATGAACTTGGACGTCAACCATGCCGCATTTAGCTCGGAATGTTTGCTCTATAAAAGACTTTTTGATCAGAAGAAAAGCAGCTTGCGTTTCAATAAATAGCAGCCAAGTTCCAGGAATGTGAATCAATTCGATTTTTTATATTTGAATATTGCGGGGTTGTCAACAAACTACGTAGCATTACGTCAGATTGTTGAGGAAAAACGTCCTCTTTTAGTTTTATTATCTGAAACTCATATTGTAGAAACTGAAGCTTTTGATCAGTATAGTATTCCGGGATATATTGTTGCTGCTTGTTTATCACATTCTAGACACACTGGCGGTGTTGCTATTTATGTCAAAGAATCAGTTCAATTCAACCTTCGTACCAACGAAGTTATTGATGGCAACTGGTTCTTGGGCATTACAGTTGTACGTGGCATGAAGATGGGTAATTATGGTGTTTTGTATCATTCTCCCAGTTCTAGTGACCAGCGTTTTGTTGAAGTTTTAGAGAACTGGCTCGAGACATTCCTTGATTCTAGTAAATTAAATATATTGGCTGGTGATTTTAATATTAATTGGCGTGATAACCATAATTCGAATCATTTGAAGCGTTTAGCTGAGTTTTTTAATTTAAAGCAAACGGTAAATGAATATACGCGTATTTCCAGGCACAGTAGGACTTTAATTGACCACGTTTATTCCAATTTTGATTCCATTTGTTCAGTTACGGATACTGATTTGAAAATAACCGATCATGAGACTTTAGTGATTAATGTCTTAGACCATGTTAACGATAACGATAATTTTGTAACATTGAAGTGCTGGAGGAAATATTCGAAGCAAGTTGTTTCAAACCTTGTTGAGAGAAGCCTGGATTTTCCATTCGCGGATGGTAACTTAGATGAATCTACAGCTGTTCTTAATAACGCTTTGAAAACGTGTACCAATCAACTAGTTGAGCAAAAGTTTGTTTCTTTGAAAAACTCGAACAGCTGGTACAATTTGGATCTTTTGCGTCTTAAACGGAAAAGGGACAAATGGTACAAAAAGTTTTGTAGATATAATAATGACAATCATTGGACTAGGTACAAAATCGCGCGTAATAAGTATTCACAATCGATAAAGAAAACTCGTTGTGAATATGTTCAAAGGAAGATTGATCAGCATCAAAACAACAGCAAAGAGTTATGGAAAATTTTGAAATCTTTATTAAAACCTAGTAATTGCAAACCGCGGTCCATAACTTTTAATGGCACATTAGAACAGTCAGAACAAGTAATTGCATCTAAGTTTAATTATTATTTCGTAGACAGTGTTTCATTGATTAATCAATCTATTGAATTGGTCGATGAACCTGACGAAATAAAACAGCCAGTTAATAGTAGTTGCAGATTTGAAGTTTTTCACCCAATTACATTAGATGAACTTAGAGTTATTTGTTTTTCATTAGGAAAATCGGCTGGAATAGATAATGTTAATGCTAGAGTTATTCAAGATTGCTTTCATGTCATTGGCCACATCTTTCTGGACCTTATTAATGAATCATTGCAGAATGGACATGTGCCACAAATTTGGAAGGAATCCTTAGTGATTCCTATTCAAAAAGTTGCTGGAACGATTAAAGCCGAAGAGTTTCGTCCCATCAACATGTTGCACACTTTAGAGAAAATCTTAGAACTTGTTGTTAAAGGCCAGCTGTTGGAGTATTTGAATAGCAACTCTTTGTTGATACCAGAACAATCGGGATATCGGGAAGGTCATTCTTGTGAAACTGCATTGAATTTGGTGTTAGCAAAGTGGAAAGACAACTTGGAGCGTAAAGATACGATTGTTGCTGTTTTTTTGGATCTGAAACGCGCTTTTGAAACAATTTCTAGGCCCTTACTGTTAAGTACAATCAAGCGCTTTGGAATTACGAGTACTGCATATAAATGGTTTGAAAGCTATTTGTCTGACAGAACTCAACGGACTGTTTTTAATGATTCTGTTTCCAGTCCCGTGGGGAACAACCTTGGAGTGCCCCAGGGAAGTGTATTAGGGCCCCTTTTATTTATTATGTATATTAATGACTTGCGACGTGTTTTACGGTTTTGCGACATTAATCTTTTTGCAGATGATACTGTGTTATTCATTGCAGCTAAGGATTTAGAAGTTGCCGTCTCACACTTGAATGAAGATTTGCAGTATCTAAGTAGATGGTTGAAGTGTAAGCAGTTAAAATTGAATACAAGTAAAACTAAATTTATGGTAATTTCGCGGAATCGACTAAATGAGAACGTCTCTGTTGTAATTGATGATGAAACTATTGATCGCGTTCAGGAGATTAAATATCTTGGCGTGATTATTGATGACAAACTTAAGTTCAACTCTCACATTGACAATGTCATCAAGAAAATTGCCAAGAAGTATGGAATTCTATGTCGATTGAAAAACGATTTAACTATTGCCAGTAAAATACAGCTATACAAATCAATCATCTCTCCTCATCTAGACTTTTGCCCATCCATTTTATTTCTGTCGAATGCAACACAAATATCGAGATTACAGCGCTTGCAGAATAAAATAATGCGTTTGATTTTGAGATGTAATAGATTCACTTCCTCAACTTTGATGTTAGACGCCTTACAATGGTTGTCGGTGAAGCAAAGAATTGTATATTTGACTATGGTGTTCATTTTTAAAGTAGTTAACGGTTTGCTGCCTCGATATTTGTGTGATCGAATTGAAAGAGGAAGTGACTATCATAGATATAATACTAGAAACGCGGATGAAATAAGAACACCACATTTCTTGACTTGTGCTTCACAGAATTCATTATTTTTTAAAGGAATAAATGTTTTCAATTCGATGCCTAGACACATTAAACGTTCAACAACATTAGCAGAATTTAAGAGACATTGCATTTCACACGTTAAAACTGTCTTTTGAACGGTTATCCAGTGATTTTTTTTTTATGAATTGACAAATTATGTATCTTGACGAAGTTATCTTTAACGGATTACTTTGTATGGACAGCTGTTATAACGACTTTTTAATAATTATTGTAGCACTGCAAAAACTATTTTGTTCGCCACGATGGTGATGATGGATTTTTGATATATGATTTAATAGTAGTAGTAAAAAAAAAAAATAGTAGTCTACAAAGGTTTGAGCCTCGCGCGCGTATTACGGATATAGAGGACTGAATTTAACATTTGATAAAAAAAAAATGCAATTTTGAAGATTATTTGGAAGATACCTTGAGTTAGTAGTAAGTTTTTTGGCAAATGTTGGGGGTTTGTGAGCATTCCTGACATTGCTGAAAATTATGATAGCATCAGATTGCGGGGTTACTAGTGTAATATGATGCTTTGTTGATTGTTCATTAACTCTTGATTGCTTGTAAAACTTATGAATATTTTAGGTGGACAAAAAGGCGAACTAAGAGGTGGACGCCTGAGCTTTTCAACATTTATATCGCTGTGAAGCAACTGTAAACTCTAGAGGGAATTTATATCTGTAACTGAAACCAGTTCGATTTTGTTTGCCAACCTGGTTAAAATGTCATATTTAATTATCTTAAAGATAAATCGTCCAGCTCAAACCTTTGTAGGGGTAAGAGGTGGGACCATCATCATCATCACCAGAGCTGAGCCAAAAAGTTGAGCACGTTTCTTCTGGACCTTCTGGTCTTAGAGTTACCTCTATGGTAGCACTAAGCTGTAGCAGTGAAGATGCTACTTGATGTTATACTAGAGAAGTAAGGGGTTGCCTTCCAAAATTTTTCATCGATTTCCAGCTGCACCTATGTAAAAATGTTTTTTTTATAACCAGGAGCATTACCTAGAATAAAACAAAGTTTTTTTTTTTTGTATTACATCTGTGATACTCTAAGGAAGCCTTAGCGTGAAACTTTAAAGGCACAAATGTCAGCTTCCACAAAACATACAAATTTGAAATTGCTACTCCTTGTTTGCTGTGCTACTGTGAAATCTGTTACGTAAGGCTTAGCAGAAAAGGTACGAAGATTATGGGATTTTAAGGTATCCAGTATTATCCGTCGATGGATGATGGTGGGTTGTAGACTTCTGGAATGCTTGCTTCGTCAAATATCTAACCTTGATATTTGGGAAATAAACACGCACAAAAACACGTTGCTATGTTACCGTGCAATCAACAACTCGAATTACTCAGAGTTACTCCAAATTAACTCCAATATTGCAATATTGCTCATGATTAAAAGCTGACTTGCCAATAGGTTTGTCCAGGCCAAAAAGAAAGTATAAATCACATGAAAATGATTACATGGTGTTATTACCTAGGTTCCATTACTGAACCAAAAGTCCGCAAAACAGATACCGATGAAATTCCAATTCTTCTGCATTTATCTCACCGGAACAAATTGAGTGTCCCAGGCTATGCTATGGCATTCCTCACGCATCCTCCCCAAAGGAAGGGGCATTATCAGGTCGGCTGTTTTTTGTCGTTGTTTTCATTCATCGTCTTACCGCTTTGCATCACCTTGTTTGTTGTTTTTGCTCATCCTCGTTTCGGCTGAAATTCTTACCCATTCAACCGGGAAGCGCTAGCCAGCTCCCCTACCGGTCAAGCCCCGGTGCGACATCAGCTCCCGGTCAACGCATGCGCTTTCCACCAGCTATAAAATTTTCCATTCGCAATTTATAGCACCCCTCGTCGCCGCGACGGGAGATGTGCGAAGGAGCTGGCTGGCTGTTCAGCTGTTCGCACAAAATATATATGACTCGGCACGGCTTGATCTGGTTTCAGTCTGTTGAAGTAGCTTTCCCGGTGTATTTCGCGAACCACGCGCTCTAGGCATCTCTCTAGCAGCAGAAGCAGCATCAGCAGGATTGTTGTTTGCATTTCTCTATAAGCTGAGTGTGTGTTTGTGTGTGTACGTTGCGGACAGTGGCGCAACAAGTTGTTTTCATTGAGTTAAAGCTAGCAGGAATTATCTGCCGCCGCCGTGTGTGGTTGTGTGGTAGTAGTTTCCCGAATTCCGTGCCACAATGGACTTAACGCTGCCCAGTGTAATGGACTGAAGAAGCGCACCGTGAAATTGGGTTAATTTCGGTGAAAAGAGCACAGAAGAAAAGCGCTATATGCAAGCGAAAAGTTCACAGTGTGGTGATTTTTAAGTTACAACAAAAAAAGGGATTGGAGTTTATTCGGCAGAATATTTGCTGGGACTTTGCACAGTGCATGTGTGCGTTGAAAAGAGAAAAACATTGTAGTAGGAAAATAATTGAGGCAGAGCCAAGTGCTTCACACAAAGGACTCATCGAGACCTTTCTGTTGATTGGATTTTAGCAGTTGCCGGTCAGGATACTTCAGAAGCCAAGGTAGGTGTTGCTGATCACACTCGAATTTACATTCTTTCCCACGCCCGTTCGACTCATGTCGAACATCAACGTCCCACGCACAGAAGTGCTTCGAGGAAAATCCTCTTCTAATTTCTTGCAAGTGGGTGGAAAAACCAACCACCCACCATGGTCATATTAAACGCCCATGGTCCGATTGGATAGAAGCACATTGATAATGTCAATGGGTTTGCAATCTCCGTGTAGTGGAATTCCTATACGTACCTACGATATAATTCTTGCTGAACATTACACCCATACAGTATTTTTTGCACATTGCTCCTAGAATGTTAAAATCCGTACACATACAAAAATTATGCTTCCCCCTTGGAGTGATCTAGTTAGACCGTAACGCTTTGTTTACAGTACTTCCGCTCATGCTACTAGATTTCACACCTCCCGAGCCGGATTGTTTACCGCACTATCCCGCATTCCGATCCGCATGTGTTCATGTCTTAAAACCCTAAAATGGAGGAGTACACAGTGAAGCTGACTTTTATGAATGAAAATTTGCGTTCCGAACAGAAAGGGGGTGAATCAGCCAGCGTTCAGCTTGCCTTTCTTGTTGGTTGATCCTTTGGCGATGGTGTCCATTCAAGTTAAATGATGGATGTCCGGATGGGCAAGTCGCGTGGACATATGCTGATGGGAATTGCGTCAGAGTTGTGTAGAAGATCGGCGAAGGAAAAAAAATAAAATACTGAAGACAGTGCACCACCAGAGATGAACGACGTGCGTTGATGGGTGGTTTGTTTTATATTGTGTTTTTTGGGAGATGGGATGGCGTTCATTGGTATTCGAGTTTTGTTTTTCTTTTGTTACGGCACTCGGCTCGGCAATGGTTTGTTTTTCGCTTTTTAATCTGTTGGTGGAAAATTTCTTTTTGTGAATGGACGGCCGTTGTTTAACTTGACGAACGGAAAAATCGGACACTTGAACGTCTATCCGTTGAATGTAAAAAAGCCGATTGTATGAAATTTGAGCGGATTGGAAAATGCAAACGCTACTCTGCTCAACGGAGCGGGCTTTGGCAGTGATCTTAGAAACTGTTATTGCTTACTTTTAAAGAATAATGTGACCCATACGGAAGTTGATGATTTGTTCAGATTGAGACAATATTTTAGCTTCTTTGGGCAACACAGTATTCCAGTAGAAAATCTTCATCAGTTAATTCAATGGAAGCCTATCAAGACTGAATGAAATGGATACATGATTAAGTACTGACATTTCATCAAACTCTAATCACTCACAGCTTGTGAAGGATTTTGACTCAAACTGATCGTCAAAGTTAAAAACGTTCTTTTGATTTTACATCGATTTTAGATTTTCAATACCAAATCTACAAAGGCTTTTGGGAAAGCATGCCAATTGATTCAATAATGACGTTCAAATCGTGCTTTTGTCTTCCACTAATATACCGGTACTCACCAAATGTACGAAGTAATACAAGATACAAGCATGTAGCAAATTTCCAACAGTCAAGTGACTCCGCACGTTGACTAGCAGTGGCTGAACGAAACAGTCGAGAAACTGCAAGAATGTGAAAATCATTCCCTACTTACTTCAGTGCGATAGCGACTGAAAACGAAACAAGTAAATGACCGTGCTTTGGCACTGTGTGAGAATCAAATCAAGCAATTTAATTTTATTTCTATTTGACGTGATATCTGCACTTCCATAGGTTTAACAATTATAAAATGCTTCATACCAGCACCAACATTGCTATAAAAGTTTCACTTAAGGTGATACTCTAAGGAAGCCTTAGCGTGAAACTTCAAAGGCACAAATGTCAGCTTCCACAAAACATACAAATTTGAAATTGCTACTCTTTGTTTGTAGTAGTACAGCAAACAAGGAGTAGCAATTTCAAATTTGTATATTTTGTGGAAGCTGACATTTGTGCCTTTAAAGTTTCACGCTAAGGCTTCCTTAGAGTATCCTTAAATCCGGAAAGCAAATGAGGGGGAAAATAATGAAGTAATTGCAAGGGACTTTATACTATGGCAAAATTGCTCCAATTTGTGAAAAAAATCTATCATTTGATAAAATCTTAAATATTGTTGACAATGCTGGTGAAACCAACTAAGGAAGAGTGTTCACTCTTTGACAGTAAGTGCATTTCAATACACTGCTATCAAATATGGAGCTCGTGTCACATAAGTTAAATTTTCTAGAAATTCGATTTGATAATCCATATTTAACAATATGGTATGGATAATGGCATGCAGACCTTTGATATCCAGGAGAAAACTCTTGATCTTGAGCTATGGAAAGCACTAAACATTATTTGTCTTAATCAATTTTCGAACATTATGGGACTTGGAATAAATCTTCAGAATTCACAATTGAACAATGTTTTAATAACAGACGAGCTTTCGGACGTAGAAAATGATTTAAAATTTCGAATTTAAAGACATTTTCATGATTATGAAACTGTGAGAAATTATTTCGAAACGATGAAAAATTGTGGAAGAAATGGCCAGAATCACATTTATGTTAAACGGCAGGCAGGAAATGTCTAGAAGAGGTCAGGGAACACCTGCAGGGAAATTAGAAGACATTTCCATTCGAAGTCAACAATACTAATCAAGGAAGTCAGAAGAAACTGCTGGGGAGGTCGGAAAAGTTTCTGAGCTAGTTAAAAACGTTTCAATCGAAACATTCCATGAAAGTTTCCGTGGAAGCCAGAACGACTCCTGGAGGAAACTTCCGATTAAATCACTTGAACATATCCGAGAAATTTGGAAGAGACTATTTTCTGGGTCAAAAGAAACTTCCGAGGGTAGTCGTAAAAAAATCTGGAAGCAGTTGAAAGAAAAATCGGAAGCAGCTCCGAACATGTTTCTGATGATTAAACTATTCCATACTATATTCATCGTTCTGCAGAATTTAATTTACAAACATTCTGATCAATAACTGTCATGAATTAAACTAAGTAAAGGGCGAACACGAAATTATTGCGACACCGAAAATGTCATGCCAATTTTCTTATAATGTTTAGAATCAAACCAAAATTTTAGGGTAGTTTTATACATATATTTACTTCCATAATCAAAAGAAAAGTTAATCGATGGAGCCTTGAGTGTAAAATTGAACACATTTTCGCTTGATGCCCTCCATCAAAGTCTTTACAGTGTCATCTGGTACCAGTTTCTCAGTTTTTTTCCATTTTCTTAACATGTCCTTCTCGTCTTTGACTGTCTTCTTGCTCTTCCGAAGTTCCCGCTTCATTATTGCCCAGAACTGCTCCACCGGGCGCAGCTCCGGACAGTTTGGCGGATTCATGTCCTTTGGAACAAAAAGGACAGAATTGGCCTCATACCACTCCAGGACACTTTTAGAATAGTGGCATGATGCCAAATCTGGCCAAAATAGCGGAGCTTCGTCGTGCTGCTGCAAGAACGGCAAAAGGCGCTTCTCGAGGCACTCAGATTTGTAGATCTCGCCATTTACTGTGCCCTTTGTCACGAAAGGTTCACTTCTCAGTCCGCAAGAGCAGATGGCCTGCCAAATGAGATATTTGGAGGTGAACTTCGACATTTTCTTCTTCTTAAATTTGTCGTCCACATCGAACTTGCTCTTGCCGGTGAAAAACTCCAACCCCGGAATTTGCTTAAAATCGGCTTTTATATACGTTTCGTCGTCCATCACACAGCAGCCATATTTTGTCAGCATCTTCTCGTAGAGCTTCCGTGCCCGAGTTTTAGCCGTCGATTTTGCCGCTCATCGCGGTTTGGGAAGTTCTGTACCTTGTATGTATGTAGTCCAGCTCTCTTCTTTGCATTCTGGACGTAGCTCTGCGACATGCCGATCTTTTTAGCCAAATCACGGCTTGAGACGTTGGGATTTGCTTTAATCATCCGCTTCACCTTTCCCTCCGTCTTTTTGTTCTCCGGTCCCGGTTTGAATGGTGAATGTTCAACATTTTTCCCAACTGCCGGTGCGACAGGTCAGGAAATTCCAGGTGTTTGGAAAGAATTTGTTCTCTCAACTCGCGTTGGTTCACCTCCATTTTCGTTGAATCGAAAAACACGAATTCGAGTTTGACAGTATGTACACAATACACATCAATGAGAAAGTGTGCAAAATTTGGTTGATTTTTACCCAATGGTAAAAAAGTTATGCCCTGTTGAATGTGTCGCAATAATTTCGTGTTTGCCCTTTACTTTATGGGTTTTGAACTAAAATATTTTCCGGTATTCAAAAAATGGCCAGGAAATGGAAATACTGCTTAAATATTTTTGCAAGAGCACGGACTTAGTAAAATCATCAGTATTTTAGGACTTTCTCTAAAATCTTCAGTATTTAAGGACAAATTCTCAAGATTGTTATACATATTTTAATTTTTTTTTGTATTCTAATAGTTTGGCAATTCTGTCTGTTTTTCAAAAGCAAACCATGGAAAGTTTTAGATTTCAGATTCAAAACATTGTTCTAGAAACCGGACGTTAGCTTTGACATTTTTGAAAAATTTCGGATTTTTCACGTCATGTTGCTTATCAATTCCGACGTCATTAGATTCTGTAATTTGTAAATTATATTTTTAGCAGATTTCTTCTTTAAATTTCAATATGTTCCGACTACTTTTAGGTGCTGCTCATTCAGGAAATTGAAATTGAAAAAGTGCAACATTTCCAGATTTATTATGGTCTTCTAGTCCATTCTAAGCTTTATAAACCTCTTCAAAACCATGATAAAACCAAAATTCTTACTTGGGTACTGATTCCACATGACTAAGTAGTCATTCCAATTTCAGTCTAATGACATTCAGCGAAATGGTAATGGTGTCTGGCCATTTGGTCAAATGCCAGTTGGCCGAATGGCCGTTGGCTGAATTTTGGTTGGCCGAATGCCATTTGGCCGAATGCCGGTTGGCAGAATTCCTTTTTCTCGAATAGGTCGAATACATTACAAGAGATTTTCAATTTTCGAACACTATGTTCGAGATTCTTGAGTGCCTTCATAACTCTTGTTTTGGAGCA